CCCAAACTAATCCCACTGCCCCGCTCTCTCCCCATAGCCCTGTATCAATCCCCAAACTAATCTCACTGCCCTGCTCTCTCCCTACCGCCCTGTATCAATCCCCAAACTAATCTCACCGACATTTTCTCTCCCCAAGTTCCTGTCATTTTCTTTTGCTTCAAATATTTATTGAGTTTTCCATGAAAATATCATTCTCTTTTGATTAATTTCCTGGAAACCTTGCCATTTTCCACCAGTTCACTTCATAAAGTTAACTCTTTGAATCCCTTCTACTGTCTATTTCACTCAACGTCACCTCCTCCCTAATTCCCTCCCCAAAGAGAAGCTGTTGTATCTCTGATACTGCAGGATGTCCTAAAAATCTTAGCAGGCAAAGGCTATAATAATGCAGGCAATGCAGGAGACCATTCGCACAGAGCAAGATTCCAGATAAAATCATCTATGATTTTAACTGAGGGATGAATATTGACTGGACACCAAGAGGGCTTCTTTCTTGCTCTTCTTCAAAACATAATTACAGAAGTTAGTCTCTTCTCATGCTGTCTCTTTGCTGATGTCCCATTCCACCTCCACTCAGACTATATCGACCAAGTTCTCACTTGCATTATAAAACTGAGGACTGTCCCACCAACACACACCTTTTCTGCTTCATCTATCTCCCGGAACCATCTCCTCTGTCAAGTAGGTTTGCCACTCTGTAACTCTTTCACCAACTCACCTTGGATTCCAATTTGCCTGAGGCTGGACCATTCTCACCCTGTGGGAATTGGCCGTCTAGCAATTTAATTGTTTCTCCACTGTCAGGGATTCAGAGTGAGCTTGACATTCGGATACAATATTGGCTGGACAGCAGGAGACGGAGAGTGATGGTGCCCGCTTGCTTTTTGGACTGGAACCAGCGGTGTTCCACAGGGATGAGTACTGGGTCCACTTTTGTCTAACACTTATTTAAATGATTTAGTTGAAAATATAGAAGGCTTAGTTAGTAAGTTTGTGGATACCAAAATTGTTGGTATACTGGACAGTGGAGAAAGTTAGCTAAGTTTACAAAGAGATCTTGATCAATTGAGTCAATGGGCTGAAGAGTGGTGGATGGAGTTTAATGTGGATAAATGCAAGGTATTGCATTTTGATAAAACAAACACAAGCTGAACTTATATAATTAAAAGGTGGGCCTTGGGTAGTGTAGTAGGAGTGAGAGAGACGTAGGTGTGCAGTTACAAATTCTTTGAAGTTTGTGTCACATATAGAAAGGGTGGTTAAGAAGCAGTTAGCATGCTTGCCTTCATTGCTCAGACCCTTGAGCATAGGATTTCGGATGTCAGGTTGCGGTAGTTCAGGACATTGGTGAGGCTTCTTCTGGACTACTGTGTCCAGTTCTGGTCACCCTGTTATTGGAAGGATATTACTCAGCTGGAAAGGATTCAGAAGACATTTACCAGGATGTTGCCGGGAATAGAGGGTTTGAGTTACAAGGAGAGACTGGATAGGCTGGGATTTTTTTTTTACTGGAGCATAGGAGGTTGTCAGGTGACCTTATTGAGGTTTGCAAAATCATGAGGGGGATAAATAAGGCAAATGCCAAGGTGTCTTTTCCCTGGAGTGGGGGATTTCAAGACAAGGGGACATATTTTTAAGATGCGAGGAGAGATTTTAAAAAGACATGAGGGGGGCAATTCTTTTACACAGAGAGTGGTTCATGTGTGGAAAGAACTTCCAGAGACAGTTACAGTGTTTAAAAGACATTTAGATAAGTACATGAATAAGAGATGTTTGGAGGGATATGGACCAAGCGCAGGCAGATGTTATGACTCTAACTCTCTGGTAATCCTTGCCCTTTTCCAGGTCCAATGTGAACCAGAGTACATGATTAAGGTTCCTTAAATATTGCTCATAGACACTTAATCCATTTGACCCACATCCAATAGTAGTCCCTCCCTGGACTGGGATCCACTGGATCCTCAGAAACTAACCCCCATTCCCCAAACTCTGCTCCTCCCTTTGACCAATTCCTCACCCCGATGGGGGCGCCCAGGCTCCGGCCTCTGATTGGACAGGCCGTTTCCACGGGGCTCTCTCATTGGTCGCCGACCCCACGCAGAGGGCAAATAGTGGGGGAGGGGGCGTTCGGGTTGACAGCTCCGTTGCAACGGGCGCTTCGATTTGTCCGGCGCGCGCAGCCCCGATGTACGGGCGCCGCTGACTAGCGGGGCCGGCCGCCGCCCTATCTCTGATTGGCTGAGCGCCTTCTGCCTACGTTGGCGGGTTCCCCATCCCCCACCGAGACTCCCCCGGGGGGGGGGGGGGGGGGGGGGGGGGAGGAGGAGGAGGAGGAGGAGGGGGTAAATGTCCCCACCCTAAACCCCCCCCCCCCACCCCGGCACTGTCGGAGAAGTCTCCGTCTCCCTCGGGCCCAGGCCTTGGGGGTGGATGGGGGTGAGGGGCAAGGCCGAGCTCGGGTGGACTGAGTCTCCCCCTTCTCCCCTCTGCCATCACCGGCCCAGACCCGGCCTCCCTCCCCCACTCCGCGGCCCGTCACTCACCGATCCCCAACGTGACAAAGGCAACCTGCAGCAGCAGCGAGAGCCAGCTCAGGAGGTAGAGAAACCACATCCTGCCGCTCAGGGCCCGGCGCTGGCCCGGAATAAACACTGACAGCCGCCCCCGGCACAGCGATGAGAGGGCGGCGCGGGACCTCCGCCGAGAGCGCCACGGCCCGGCAGGGAGGAGGAGACACTGGAATCAGGACCTCCGGCGAGAGCGCCACCGTGCGGTGGGGAGGAAGAGGAGACGCAGCGTTTAGGATCTCCGGCGAGAGCGCCACCGGCTGTTGGGGAGGAGGACAAACGGTGGATTGGTGGGGGGGCGGTGCCAGGATCTCCGGCGAGAGTGCCACCAATCGGATGGGAGGTGAAGAGACAGGGTCCGGGACACTGAGGGAGAGCGCCACCAATCGGATGGAAGGAGACAGGGCTTGAGACCTCCCAGCAGTGCGCCACCAGTTGGAGGGGAGGACGAGAGACTCGGCCCGTGATCTCCGGGGGAGCGCCACCTGCCGGAGTAGACAGGGATCGGGAACCTCTGTCACAAGCGGAACAGCGATGCCGAGAGGCCATTCAGCCCATTATATATGTACTGGCCCTCTGAAAAAGGATTGATACTGATCCCATTCCACTGCCAGAAATTTTTCCTCCTCCTGGAGTCTTTCAATCTCACCACGATGTGTCTTCGCTGGGTGTGAAGAAATCTTCTTCATCTGCGCCTGTATCTATTTCGGTCTGTCCTTTAACCCGATTTCCCAGTTTACTTTAGTTTTCATACCCTCTTCCTTGTCCTTGTTTAAATTTAAAATACTTGTCTTGGCCTTGACGTGGAGGTGCCGGTGTTGGACTGGGGTGGACAAGGTCAGAGATCACACGACACCAGGTTATAGTCCAACAGGTTTATTTGAAATCACAAGTTTTTGGAGTATAGCTCCTTAATGAGGTGAAGTGAGAGGGAAGCACACAGACAGATAATTTATAGGCAGAGGGATCAAAAGAGCATACAAATGCTGTGAGTGGAGTTTCGACAGACTGCATAATAAGTCTCTGCAGGTGATCAAAAATGTCAGACAGTGTGAGTAAAGTGTCAGCAGCTGCGTAACAAGTGAGGGGATGGTCTATAATCCGATTAATTCAGGCTGATATATAATTTTTAAAAATTAAAAATAAGGTGGTGCTGGAGACATTCCAATGGTTGGAATAACATATTAAGTATGAGTCAGATGCCAAGGGTCTAACCAAAGTAATAAGTAATCCAAAACTGTACAAACTAAGTAAGATAGTGAGATCATAACAATTTATCAAGGCGATGGTGTGAAAACAGGACTTTAAGGATGATTTTACAGATACAGAACAGTGTGGTGGGTGTCACCTGTAGTGAGACATGAACCCACTATCACAGTTGAGGCCATCTTCATGGGTATGGAACTTGGCTATCAGTCTCTGCTCGGGGATTCTGTTGTGTATCTCGGAGTCTGCCTTGGAGGACACTTACCAGAAGATCTGAGGCCGAATGACCGTGACCACTGAAGTGTTCCCCCACTGGGAGAGAACATCCCTGTCTGGGGATTGTTGTGCAGTGTCCATTCATCTGTTGTCGTAGTGTCTGCATGGTCTCACCAATATACCATGCCTCGGGGTATCCTTGCCTGCAGCGTATGAGAAAGACGATGTTGGTCGAATCACATGAGTATCTGCCGTGCACATGGTGGGAGGTGTTCCCACGTGTGATGGTAGTGTCCATGTCGATGATCTGACATGTCTTACAGAGGTTGCCATGGCCCAGTTGTATCCCTTAATGAAAATGAAATTCAAGCATATTGCAATCACTGCTAACTAGAGGTTGCTTTTATAATCGAGACATTAATTAATCCTGTGGTATTGCACATTATCTAATCTCGTGTAGACTGCTCCCAGGCCATCTCTAACATCTGCTGCTCCAAGACACTGTTCTGAAATCATTCTAAGAAGTTATTTTCCAGGCTGCCTCAGCTGATCTAATTTCTTCCTTCCAGCTGTAAATTAAAACCTACAAGATTATCTCTGTATCTTTCTCACAAGCCCTCATTTTATACCCCATGTGTACTGTACTGCTTACTGTTCAGGTTCCTATAAGCCTTTTCCACGAGTGACCCAGTTGGTCTGGCAACATTCTGTGGGGGCAGAGAGAGAGAGAGAGAGAGTTGATGTTGTGGGTTCAGTTCTGAAACTTTAACTCTGTACCTCTCTCCACACATGCCGCCACACCTGCTGAATTTCTCCAGGAATTTTTATATTTGTTTCGTATTTCCAGCATTTGCTTTTTATTTTTTCTGTTCATCTGTGGGATGTGGGCATCCCTGGCTGCCCAGCATTTCTTGCCCATCTCTAGTTGCCCCTTGAGAAGGTGGGGGTGAGCTGCCTTCCTGAACCGCTGCAGTCCTCCTGCTGTGGGTTGACCCACAGTGCCCTTAAGGGAGGGAATTCCAGGATTTTGACCCAGCCACAGTGAAGGAACGGCAATATATTTCCAAGTCAGAATGGTAAGTGGCTTGGAGGGGAATTTGAAGGTGGTGATGTTCCCATGTATCTGCTGCCCTTGTCCTTCTAGATGGAAGTGGTTGTGGGTTTGGAAGGTGCTGACTGAGGATCTTTGGTGAATTTCTGCAGTGCATCTTGTAGATAGTTCACACTGCTGCTACTGAGCGTCGGTGGTGGGGGGAGTGGATGCTTGTGGATGTGGTACCAATCAAGCGGCTGCTTTGTCCTGGATGGTGTTGAGCTTCTTGAGTGTTGTTGGAGCTGCACCCATCCAGGCAAGTGGGGAGTATTCCATCACACTCCTGACTTGTGCCTTGTAGATGGTGGACAGGCTTTGGGGAGTCAGGAGGGGAGTTACTGGTTGCAGTATTCCCAGCTTCTGGCCTGCTCTTGTGTTAATGTGGTGAGTCCAGTTGAGTTTCTGGTCAATGCTAACCCCCAGGATGTTGACAGTGGGGGATTCAGTGATGGTAACACCATTGAATGCCAAGGGGCGGTGGTTAGATTGTCTCTTATTGGTGATGGTCATAGCCTGGCATTTGTGTGGCGCATGGGGGGGGGCGGCATGGTGGTGGGGGCAGCATGGTGGCACAGCGGTTAGCACTGCTGCCTCACAGCGCCAGGGACCCGGGTTTGATTCCATCCTCAGGCGACTGTCTGTGTGGAATTTGCACATTCTCACCGTGTCTGCGTGGGTTTCCTCCGGGAGCTCGGGTTTCCTCCCACAGTCCAAAGATGTACAGGTTGGGTGGATTGGCCATGCTAAATTACCCGTAGTGTTCAGGGATGTGTAGATTAGGGGGATGGGTCTGGGTGGGATTCTCTGAGGTCCAGTGTGGACTTGTTGGGCTGAAGGGCCTGTTTCCACACTGTAGGGATTCTATGATTCTATGAAATGTCACTTGCCACTTGTCAGCCCAAGCCTGGTTATTGTCCAGGTCTTGTTGCATGTGAACATGGACTGCTTCAGTATCTGAGGAGTCACGAATGGTGCTGAACATTGTGCAATCATCGGTGAACATCCCCACTTCTGACCTTATGATGGAGGCAAGCGGCAAGTTCTGGAGCACAAGTCTTCAGTACTATTGCCGGAATGTTGTCAGGGCCCGTAGCGTTTGCAGTATCCAGTGTCTCCAACTGTTTCTTGATATCACGTGGAGTGAATCAAATTGGCTGAAGACTGGTATCTGTGATGGTGGGGATCTGCTTTTTATGACCCACAAGTAAATTCCTATCTTTCCTATTTCCCATCTTTATCCAAACAGATTCAAAATCTTGTTGTTTAGAACTAAGGTCATACAAACTTGATTGAGTTTTTTGAGGAAGTTACAAAACGGTTGATGATGGCAGAGCAATAAATGCGGTTTATTTGGATTTCAGTAAAGCCTTTGACAAGGTTCTGCATGGTAGACTAATTAGTAAAGTTAGGTCACATGGGATTCAGGGCGAGCGTGACAATTGGATACATAATTGGCTTAATGACAGGAGGCAGAGAGTAATGGTGGAGGGTTACTTCTCAGACTACGAGCCTTGTTACCAGAAGTGTTCCACAGGGATCGGTTCTGGATCCTCTTCTGTTTGTCATTTATATAAATGATTTGGATGAGAATATTGAAGGCATGGTTAGTAAGGTTGCAGACAAGACCAAAATTGGTGGCATTGAGACAATGAAGAATGTTTTCTAAGATTACAAAGGGATCTTGATCAAATGGATCAATGAGCTGAAAAATGGCAGATGGAGTTCAATCTGAATAAATGCGAGGTACCGCATTTTGTTGCAAAAAACAAGGGTAGGGCTTATACAATTAATGGTAGGGCCTTGGGTAGTGTTGTAGAACAGAGGGACCTAGGGGTACAGGTACATAATTCTTTTAAAGTTCGTGTCACATATAGACAGGATGGTTAAAAAGGTGTTTGGCACGCTTCCTTTATTGCTCAATCCTTTGAGTATAGGAGTTGGGGTGTTATGTTGAGGTTGTACAGGACATTGGTGAGGCTTCTTCTGGAATACTGTGTCCAGTTCTGGTCGCCCAATTATAAGAAAGATATTATCAAGCTGGAGAGGGTTCGGAAGAGATTTACCAGGATGTTGCCAGGTATGGAAGGTTTGAGTTAGCGTTGGAGGTTGAGAGGTGACCCTATAGAGGTTTGTAAAATAATGAGGGGTATAAATAGAGTTGATGGTGGTTGTCTTTTCCCTAGGATGAGGGATTTCAAGACTATGGGGCACATTTTTAAGGCGAGAGGAGAGAGATTTAGAAAAGACACGAGGGGCAAATTTTTTACACAGATTATGGTTCATGTGTGGAATGAACTTCCTGAGGAAGTGGTGCATGTGGGGACACTTACAATGTTTGAAAGACATTTGGATAATTACATAAATATGAAAGGTTTGGCAGGATATGGGCCAGGAGTTTAGTTTGGGTTTATGGACTGGTTGGATTCAGGGGTCTGTTTCCGTGCTTTATGACTCTATGACTCTACCTCTCATGTCATCATTAATCTACAGAGCTCCCCCTCCACCTTTATGAATTTTCCATCCTTTAGAAACTGCAGTGTACCTTTTGAATCTTCAGGTCCCCAGTTTTTGTCGGTTTACAGCGATGTCTGTGGACATATTTATGTCTGAAGCAGACACCAGTTTGTCTGCACTGAACATTCGAGGTGTACGGTAAAGACATAAAGTGGGGAGGGCAGTAAAATCTGTCTCCTGCCTACAAAGTCGAGCAGCTGTTGGTGCATCGAGGGTGGGGTTGCATGTTGGGTAATACTGTCCCCTCTGTTTCAGAAACCCATGGTTTTTCGTCCCGCTGTAGAGAGACTGGAGCAGTAAATCCCGACTGACAATCCCATGCCACATTGGAGATCTGGTTTAAATGTTAAACTGAGCCCTGTCTGCCCCCTCGATGTAAAAGGTACCATTTTGAAGACAGATTTGGTGGAGGGGAAGGTAAGACTGCCCCACTGCTCAAGCAAGTGTTGATTAATCACCCCCCTCCCTCCCTCTGAGCAATGCACCCCACCAAACTATCTGGTCACCCACACACGGCTCCCCACAACCCCCCCCCCCCCCCCCCCCCCCCCCCCCCCCCCCGCCGCCGCCCCG